GGGGGGGGGCGTGGAATAGTCCTTGCCCTTTCTTCTACAGCTCCACATAAGACAAATACAATGTAGACCTAAAGGTTATGGCATAGGAATTTTTAGGTGATTTAAATACTAAAAAGGCAAATTAAAAGCATTTTTTTCATTTCTGAAGACCTAAAAATAAAATTCATAGCTGTGGCACAAATCAATCAGTCTGGCATAAAATTAAGTATTTCCACTGGTAAGTGAGAAAAGAAGTGGCTTAGGAGCTGCTGGGTCACAGCTTTTCTGTGGCAGGACAGCCACATGAACACACAGACAGCACACAGCCACATATTCCTAGGGACTGGTCTTTCCAGGCTCGGGGCTGGAACTCGGTAGACGTCAGAGAGTACACTGAGTACTGCCTTATAAACGATAGGGAGCTTTGTTCTCTGCTGCCAAAGAAACACTTCAGTAAAACAGGAAGGCAAAATCAGAAACCGTTAGGTTCTCTTACTTACCTGGATGGATACCTCTCAAAACCTCCGCTTCCCAGGGATCTGGGCCCCATGGTGCTTCCCCTCTCTCCAGTTGGGAGATCAGAACAGGTTTGGGGAATGGAAATGCTACCCCACCAAGAAAAAAAGACAGACAAGTTGAGGGGAGACATCCAGAGCTGTTCCTGAGCTCTCTCTAGGCCCATCCCATAACAGGCTAGTTGGGGAAAGAAACAGAACGCCCAGGAGACCAAGTAAGCTACCCAGGGGTTCTGAAGAAGGGCTCCAAAAGATAGCGATTCTCCTCAGGAAGAAACTGCAACCTCGCCCTGACTTAGGAGAAAGGAAATCTCCTTGGGAAGAATGTACATACTGATATCCTGGAAGACTCCTCCACAAACAGGAGGGCCCACATTCCCAGAAAACTAGAAGGATGGAGGAACAAAGGGCTCACCCAGGGCACCAGGAAGAGTCCTTTCCCTCAGGGCCCAAAACCATGCTCTTCCCTGGGATGTAAGGAAGTCCAATTTCAAAACCAAAGGGAACCAAGGATTTCCCCACCATCATCTCCAGAGGCTGGTGACTACAGAATTCCCTTGTGGAGTCATCAAACCCAAGGGCTACTAGAACCCCCTAAACATCCGAGGAAGACATCAAACTATCACAAAGGACTACTTCGAGAGACCTTACCCAGAGAAGCCATATTTGCATAATTCTCCAGCATCACCTCCCCGTACAGGGCCCTCTGTGCAGGGTCCAAGCTCGCCCATTGGTTCTGGGTGAAGTACACGGCCACGTCCTCAAAGGTCACTGACTCCTGAAACAACAGGGTCCTGCTCAAGCTCTGAGTGAGGGCAGAAGGAGGCACCCTGAGCTGCAGGGAAGAGATGGACCTGCCAGGTTCTGCAATTCTGAGCCCCGTGGAAGGTCTGCTCTAGCGAGAAGGGCACCCAGCACCCCAGCCAGGGGCAGCCCTCAGCCAGAGTTCTCACTTCCAATCAGAACCCCAATGCTCTCCCATCTGCTCAACTCTGGGGCCCCAAACTGTCATCCCAATCTCATAGCCTGGCACCTGGGGCTCTCTGCCTGGTAACTGCATCAACCCCTTTGTTCCCGGCTCCTCGGATCTGTCTCTCTGGCATCTCCTACCTTCATGTATTCCATAATTCCGTCACTTTATTTTCTATACACCAGCCACTGCAGGTACCGCCACCCCCCGTCTCCACCCACCCAAAGTACACATGAACAGCCCCACTTGTTCCCTGCACTTAGCTTCCCCTTAGTCTTCCCCAACATCTTCCACCACGTGCAGAGCCACTCCTCAGAAGTCATCTCAGCATTTTACAAATTTCTTTTTATACCTTCTTACTTTATCAGAAAGCTGGCTCTCTTGAAGGAAATCTGCAGCCTGCCTGTTCTGGCCTCTTCTCTGAACCACCTGTCTGCAAAGAAGGTTGGCAGTGCCCGCTCTCTGAACACAGCTCCATCCCCCAGTCTTGAGCAGCACTCCTCCTGCCAAGGTGTGCCTCTCTCTGCCTCCCCCGAGGCCATCTCCATCTTCCCAAGAGTGAAGGGAACTAATACTTGTTGATTAGCCCCTGGGCACCAGGCTCTTAGGTGGGTACTCTTAAATCCTGTATTTCATTTAATATTTACAACATGTATATGAAGTAGAAATTATTACTCCCATTTTTCAAATAAGGAATCAGAAAGATTAATTACTTTGCCCAAGATCCCACAACCAGGAAGTGGCAGAGCTGAGACTTCAACCAGATCTGTCAAACAGCAAACCTGGGCTCTTCTCACACACCAAGCTGCTCCAAACTTTGGAAAGTCTGAACTTCTCCAAAAACATGGCTAACCCCTGAAGCTCATCATAACCTGTTGTTGCCCCATCTCTGGAGAATAGCTTCTCAAACTCCCTATTCCCAAAATTACCTGTCAATCCATCCAGACCAGATGGGGCTCCTCCCCTAATCTGGACTGAGGGATCAGCTATTTCAAAACCACATATACCACCCTGGGAGCCAGAGCCTCTGAATCTTCCATGAGGCCCAAGAACAGTCCTGAATGGTGTATACTGGCTACCTTCTCTGCTTCTACAGTCAGCATAGTGCAGACCACAGAGACTAGGGTCTCATCTTGGAGGAGGTTTCATGACTTCTGGGCTTTCTCACCTTGATGACCCCACAGATGATTCCATCTCCCAGGAGACCTCACTACCTTATGCAATAAGCCCTGTTCTTTTCAGCCACTGAAAATGAAAACACCTACCAACAGGGGCTCACCTAAGCCCCAAACTTGAGTGTCACATTCTCTAGCAGCAGCCCCTAAAGCAGCCTGTGCACTGGAGTTAGCACAGGGGACAGGGAGAAGTGATGCGACTGCAACTGCTCTTGGAGGAAGCAGGGAAGAAACACACCCGAAGGATAAATCCTGGCAACTCAAACTGCTCCCAGCAGCTCTACTGGCGCTACTCACAGGTCCTTATAAATGGGTCCTTTTAAAACAATAATAATTAGGGAACTCAGTTCAAAAGGAGACACTGAAAGAAAAAGAATAAATCTGGACAATCATCAAAAAGGAGAGCTGGCCTATAAACTGGGCAATGATGAGGTCCAAAGGGCCCCCCAAAACAGTCTGAGCCACAAGTCCAAACACCAGACAGAACCATGATGTCCTGTGAGTAATCACAGCTACAACAAGGCTCTAAGGCCTTCTGAGGACAGCAACCACTGACTCACAGGGTTCACCACTACTTACAGCAAGTCAGACCCCATTCCCAAACCTCTCCAGAGCTGACCTCACAACATTCTCCTACCAGCCTGGCACCATCAATCTCTTCCTCCCTCAACTGTTCTTCCTACCTGCTACCAAATATCCCCGGTTTCATGAATCGGAAAAAATGCCTACTATTAAAGGAAAACTTACTGTTTTAAGGTAGGTGGGTTTTTTCCTTCCTGTGGATGGTCCCTATGTACCTCACCTTATTTTATTTATCTCCACAGAATTTTTCATCATCTGACAAGTTATATTGTTTATTATCTATCTCCCCCAACCAGAACGCAAATCTATGAGGCCAAGATTCTGTTTTGTTCATAATTCGTTTACTAGCACACAGTACGGTGCCTGGCAGATACTAGAAGCTTAATATAAATTTGCTGAAAGAATTAATTTCAAAAATGGTTTGACTACAAATAAAATTTTTTAAACTTATGACGAGGATCAGAAAACAACAGCAAACCCCACCTTAACAGTGAAATGCCAGGGCATATCCATTAAAGTGGATGGCTGATAATTTCCATGAGCTGAGGTTCTACTTTCTGTGAAAGACTGGAAAACGAGCATAAATATAAGAGAGGAATAAACATAAATATCTTTGCTCATAGATGAAATAGCTATCTGCCTAAAAGTATCCAAAGCCAAATAATTCATTAAGTTAGCTAAATATAGGATAAGTAAACCAAAATCATTAGCTTTCCTAAATACCATCATAAACAATGAGAAGATAAAATGGGAGAAAATAAGATGCCATTCATATAAAAATAGCTAAGAATATACTTAAAAATGTGCAAAATTAAGATGAAGAAAACTGAATGTTTATTCAAATAAATAAAAGAACTGAATAAATTGGAACATGCAGTGTTTCTGAATGGGAAGAATCAAATTTGTAAACAAGTCAATTATCTCCAATTTTCCCTATGAATTCAATAAAATCCACTCCCCCACCAAAAAGATCAATGAGATTTGTGCAGGAGTAGGGGATCACTTAAAGTCATCTGAAGGGCCAGCCCCAGTGGCCTAGTGGTTGAGTTCAGCACACTCTGCTTCATCAGCCTGGGGTTCGGTTCCTGGGCACGGACCTAGACCACTCATCTGTTAGTGTGGCGGCAGCTCACATACAAAAAGAGGAAGATTGGCAGTGGATGTTAACTCAGGGCGAATCTTCCTCAGCAAAAAAAAATAAATTAAAAACATAAATAAAGTCATCTGAAAAAGTAAGTGTGAGAGACCAGACGAAAATGTTTTGAAGAAAAAAAATTTTTTGAAAGAAAAGATGAGAAGGAATTAAACCCTACCTTAAAGGATAATAGTTCAAGAAAATGAGAAGACAAGCCACAGATAGAGGAAAAATACTTGAAAAGACATATCTGATAAAGAACTGTTATCCAAAGTATACAAAGAACTCTTAAAACTCAACAATAACAAAATGAACAACCCAATTAAAAAATGGGCAAAAGACCTGAACAGATACCTCACCAAAGAAGATATACAGATGGCAAATTGGTATATAAAAAGATGCTCCACATCATATGTCATCACGGAAATGCAAATTACAACGATGAGATACCACTACACACCTATCAGAATGGCCGAAATCCAGAACACTGACAACACTAAATTCTAGTGAGGATGCGGAACAACAGAAACTCTCCTTCGTTGCTAGTGGGAATGTAAAATGGTACAGCCACTGTGGAAGACAGTTTGGAGGTTTCTTACAAAAACAAACATACTCTTACCATTTAATCCAGTAATCATGCTCCCTGTTATCTTCCCAAATGAGTTGGAAACATATGTCCACACAAAAACCAGCACACAGATGTTTACAGTAACTTTATTCATAATGTCAGAACTTGGAAGCAATCAAGATGCCCTTCAGTAGGTTAATCGATACATTAACTTGAGTATATCCAGACAATGGAACATTATTCAGTGCTAAAAGGAAATAAGCTATCAAGCCATGAAAAGTCAGAGAGGAACCTTAAATGCATATTACTAATTGAAAAAGCCAATCAGAAAAGGCTACACACTGTATGATTCCAACTACATGACATTCTGGAAAAGGCAAAACTGTAGAGGCAGTAAAAAGATTATTGGCTGTCAGGGAGTGGGGATGAATAGGCGGAGCACAGAGGATTTTCAGGGCTGTGAAAACACTCTGTACAATACTATAATAATACTGTCATACTGTAATAACAGATACATGTCATTATATATTTGTAACCCACACAATGTACAACACCAAGAGTGAACCCTAATGCAAACTATGAACTCTGAATTATAATGATGTGTCCGTGTAGGTTCATCAATTGTAACTAATGTACCACTCTGGTGCGGGATGTTGATAATGGAGGCGGCTATGCATGTGTAGGGGTAGGAAGCATATGGGATCTCCCTGTGCTTACTGCTCAATTTTTCAATGAATCCAAAATTTCTCTAAAAATTAGAGTCTATTAAAAAAAAAAAAAAGGACAATACTTAATCTCTTACCTGGACTGCATATGTTCCTAACTGACTCACATCCTTCTACAACCAACACACCACTAAGGGCTGGAAAATCTTTTTAATATATAAATCCTACACGTCACCTCCCTCGCTTAAAGTCCTTTAGCACCTTCCCACTGAACTCAGAATAGAAACCAACCTCTTCACAGTGACCTACAAGACATGTGCCTATTTCTCTCGCCTCACACTGAACTTCTCTGACCTCTCCCTGTGTCTAGAGTACACTCAGCTTTCCCCTCCACTTCAAGGCCTTTGCATCTGCTGTCCTGTCTAGAAAGCTCTTCTTTAGCTCTCTCTTCAGTAGTTCCCCAAACTGTGTCTATTTCATCCTCGAAGTCTCAACCTTATGTTACCACTTCCATGAATGCTTCCCTGACCATTACCATTAAAGGTAGCTTCTTTGGGCTTCTCCAGTTTGAGAAGGTGCCTAAGAATCACCTGGATTCTGTAACGTTTGTTACAACAACCCTCCTCCCCAGTCTGATTCTGGGTCTAAGGTGCAGCCCAAGAATATGCAATTCTAATAAGCTCCCAGGTGATGCTGATGCTGCCTACCTGTGGACCACACTTTTGAGAAGCACTGTACTTTAGCAACATGTGATTATGGTAATTAACTTACTTGTTTACAGATTATTTTGCTAAAAGTACTCTCCATGAGAAAAGGGAACTTGTCTGCATTATTCAATACTATGCACCTAGCATATGGAAAGAACAATGCTAGTCTCTCTGGGATACATCTACAATTTATGGGACAATCTCTCCAATGATAAATTTCTCTGATCTCAGCAGGTGATTATTATTTGTAGAACAAGATCTGAATTTCCACATGCAGGGAGAATTTCTTGCCTTGGGTCCCCCTTTTTCCAGTTAAACTTAGGCATCCAAACTCATCACTCCCTATACACAAAACTCTTATTTCCTTCACCACGTATTTACAGCCACAGCCCTGGGGATGCACTCCAGGGGGAAACCACAGCCTGGCCAAGTTAGGCCTTCTTGGTCCTTTCCTGGTTACCACATAACTAATGCGATTTAAAAAAGACTGAAAGGAAGCTCAGCTCACCTGAGGCCAAGATGTTTGGAGCATGGCTGATGTCCCCTGGCTCCGTGCACTGTCTTCTGGGTTTGGAAAAGCAAGAACCTTAGAAGCTAAGAGAAGAAGAGCCATAAGTGCAATGGTCTCTGTCCTGCATCACCCACAGCGGCCTACGGCCTTCCCGGTCTCATTTCCAGCACTGGCAGGAGACTCCATCAGGCCCCCTTCCGGCTGATCGCCCCAAGATCCTCGTGAATTGTTCTGCCTGGTCCTCAGGACAATCCTCCATCTGCCTGCTCAGCAGAAGAGCGCCCCTGAGCCCATTCACACGAAGCGGACTGAGGGATCCAAGACGAAACCTGTCCCTGCAGTGTTGGGTCTAAACAGATCTAAACCTAACAAAGCGCTTATAGGGACCATGACATTGACCCAAAAAAGGTGCCTATGGAGGGAAGAAGGGACAGGGATTAAGAGGAAAATAGTGTTCAGTGGGTGATGCTGACCGGAGACCCAACCGGGATCTCTATCCAGGGAAGCAAGAGACCCCAAACATTAGAAACGTCAGTACCAGGCGAAGGAGGCTATTAGGCCAAGTTCTCTAGGACAGAAAAGACGATCATGCCTCGGTGGGCAAGGGGCTGGACCAGGCTCTAGAAGGCCGCGCAGCCACCTCGGGGGGCTTCTGCGAAGCCCAGACGCCGGAGCTCCGGGTTAGGGGCGAGCTGCCAGTGGGACTGAGTTCAGGGGAGGGAGTGCTGACGAGCCGCCAGGGAAAGCGAGGAAGCCGGGACCAGGCAGACCTGGCACGTAGAACGCGGTGGAACCAACACTCTTCCTCTCCACACCCCGAGAAGGGGCCGCTCAAATTTGATGCGGAAGGCAGCGCGCGCACCCAGTGCCCCTCTAGGCCTCCGGAGGCCGCCCATCTCGGTGCTCCCCGCGGCCCGGCCCCACGTGACTAGGCCGGCCCTGTGGAAGAGGCGGGGTTGCAGGCGGGCACTGCGTGTGTCGTCACTGGCGGGCGCCGAGCCGCGACGCTCTCAGCCGATGTGTCCGGCCGCTGCCGCCGGGGAACCTCCTCGGGGCTGGGGCGTCGCGGCGCTAATGCAGCCCCGCTGTACTCACACCTCAGCCTTTAGACCCAGGTGTGGCCCCACTTAACGGACTGCCTCATCGGCTGTCGGCCACCTTTACTCTGTGGGTCGCCTGGGCTGTGCAGGTGTGGTGGGAATGGCTCCTGTTGTGTCATTTCTTAGAGACCAAGCCAAGGATCCTGCTTGGGTCCTAGACTGGGCAGCCCTTAGGAAAACCTTGGTTTCCACCTGCCTTTTAAAAGCCCTCTCCCTTCCAAGGACCTAGACGTGTGTGGGACCTTTTAGAGCAGATTCATTTAACATCCAAAATAATGGTGACTAAGGTTGCCAGGCATTCTGTATACACAGGACGTGTCCTATATTAAATTATTTTGTCCTGTATTGACTTTGTCAGGGCGCCCTAAATGTCCTGCGTTTAGCTTTTCCCAATAAATTATGAAATTTTTGTAGTTTAGAGCTATTTTTCTGCCCAGTAACTAGCACTTAAATTTAAATGTCAACCCTGGGTGAAAAAAATCATACTTCCACAAATAAATATCTGGATAATCCCTTCTTACAGTCTCTCATGCAGGTTGGGCTGAGGGAAGAACAGAAAAGAAAAAAGACTGAGAATTAAAACATTAAAAGTATTTGTTTTTATACCACAGCTTCTTTATCCATTCGTCCCTTGATGGGCACTTAGGTTGCTTCCAAGTCTTGGCTATAGTGAATAAGGCTGCAATGAAATGACGAAATCCAGCCATTTGTGACAACATGGATGGACATTGAGGGTATAATGCAAAGTGAAATAAGTCAGAGGGAGAAGGTCAAATACCGTATGATTTCCTTCATTAAGTAGTAGATAATAACAACAATAAACAAACATAGGGACAGAGATTGGATTGGTGGTTACCAGAGGGGAAGGGGGGAGGGAGGAGGGTGAAAGGGATAATTCGGTACATGTGTGTGGTGATGGGTTGTAATTAGTATTTTGGTGGTGAACATGATGTAGTCCATGCAGAAATAGAAGTACAATGATGTACACCTGAAATTTTTACAATGTTATACACCAATGTTACTGCAATAAACAAAAACAAACCAAAAAAAAATAAAAAATAAAAAAATAAAAGTATTTGTTTTTTGGGGCTGGCCTGGTGGCACAAGCCGTTAAATGCGCGAGCTCTGGTGGCCCCGGGTCCGCCGGTTCGGATCCTGGGCGTGCACTGGTGCACTGCTTGTCAAGCCATGCTGTGGCGGCATCCTATAAAGTAGAGGAAGATAGGCATGGATGTTAGCCCAGGGCCAGTCTTCCTCAGCAAAAAAAGAGGAGGATTGGCAGATGTTAGCTCAGGGCCGCTCTTCCTCACACACACACAAAAAAGTATTTGTTTTTCATACTCAAGAAAAGAGAAGAGTGTTCTTTGACCAAAGTTCCAAGTCACGAACAAGTAACTGCTGTAAATTTACATAACTTCGAGTCAATACACGTGCTCTAAAAATCAGCCAATCAGTGACAGCCTCACTTTAGTGACCCCAAGTAACTATGCTTCCGAAAGTTAGCAGATCAATTGCAGCCCCAAGCTTCTAAACATGAGCCAGTCGTCACAAAAGCCCTTGAAAGCCAGCCAATCAGTGACGGTCCTACCTACTGGACAACAGCCAATTAGCAAGTGCCTCACTACAGTGGCTGTGCTTCTGAAAATCACTGGGTCAATAGTAGCCTTACTCCAGCGACCACTTCTTGCCAATGTGGTTGCCAGCATGAACTGACTTTTACCTTGTCCTCTCTGATGTTTCTACCGAACACAGTTCCAGATATATGGCTCCTGCTCACCAAGCTCCTCAGAGCTATAAAGGGAAATTGGCCTCTCACTGCTAGAAGATAGAATGATCCTGGATATCTGGATATATGACTCTACCACAGGAGTTTGTTACTCCTTTCACAGGAATTAGATTTTGTTTCTGACCAACTATAGCATAAAGAAGTCCTATCATGGAGAGTACATTAGGTATCTACTACTGCATAACAAGTCACCCCAAAACTTTGTAGCTGAAAATGATACACATTTATTATCTCTCAAAGTTTCTGTGGATCAGGAATTCAGGAGTGGCTTGGCTGGAGGGACTGGCTGGGGATCTTTCATGAGGTTCCAGTCAGGTGTCACCTGGGGTACACTCATCTGCAAGCTTGACTGAGGCTGGGGGATCTGCCTCCAAGGTAGCTCATTCACATGCCTGGCAAGTTGGTACTGGTTATTGGTGTGAATCCTCAGTCCCTTCCCACTTGGGTATCTGCACATGGCTGTGTCATCACAACCTGGCAACAGACTTCCACCCAAGGAAAGCAATCCAAGAGATCAAGGCTAGCTGCAACGTCATTTATGACATAATTTTGGAAGTCATGCAGCATCATTACCTCAATATACTATCATCACAGGCCACTCATGCTTCAGTTTTGGAAGAGATGCACAAAGGCATGAATGCTAGGATGAGAATCACTGGGGACCATTATGGAGGCCACCTAACATAGAGATTTTACCTACCACAGAAAAAGTCCATCTTATAAAACCTATAGTATTTTTATTGTAAAGTTTATGCAAAGCAACTGTTTTAAATAGAAGAATTAGATTTCCAGGAACAATAGCATGATGAGGACTTATATTTGCATATTGCTCCCTCTCTAAACCTATCAAAATGAACATCTACCATGAATCTAGAGAGACGGGCACACATACATGGGTGCACATACACATACACACATATACACCACAAACTCTAAAGAGTACCAGCCAGCTATTACAATTAGGACCAACTTGGAGTGGAACAAAATTGGACATGCAATTGCTCTCTCTGGTGTTATGGTGCAAGGAGAAGAAATTAGAAAGCTTTGGTAGGCCCAAATAAAAACCCCAAATTGGGAGGATAACTGGAATTATGAGAAGCCAGAGAAGAAAATTGGGAACATGCTACAAGAGGCTTATTCTTTCCCAGAACAGCCTCACGAGACACCACAGAGCACAGGCAGCACTGAGCTAGAGGCAGCTAGATGGCAAGGTGAACCAGGAGACATGGGAAACTTTAGCCTTTGCAGCTGTCAGAGAGTCTGTTCATGTATCAGCAAAATTAATATCTGGGGCTGGATGTTCCTCACCTGGCCAATGCCAGAGAGACTGGCTTTCCCTAAAAACACACTATCACAAGCCACTAGCCAGTGCAGTAAAGCAAGAAAATGAAAGAAAATGCATCCAGAATCGGAAAGGAAGAAGTAAAATGATTGTTATTTGTGAACATGATTCTCAATGTTAGGAAATTCTATGGAATCTACAAAATGTTACTAGAACTAGTGAGTGAGTTGTGCAAGGTTGCAGGATACAAGGTCAAAATACAAAAATCAATTATATTTCTATATGCCATCAATGAAAATTGGAAATGTACTATTTATAATAGCATCAAAAATAGGGGCCAGCCCAGTGGCATTAAGTTCACACACTCAGCTTCAGTGGCCTTGGGTTTATGGGTTCGGATCCCGGGCGCGGACCTCCATACCGCTTGTTAAGCCATGCTGTGGCAGCGTCCCAAGTACAAAATAGAGGAAGATTAGCACAGATGTTAGCCCAGGGATAATCTTCCTCAAGCAAAAAGAGGAAGATTGGCAGGAGATGTCAGCTCAGGGCCAATCTTCCTCACCAAAAAAAAAAAAAAAAAAAAGTCAATTATTCCAAAATCGATCTATAGATTCAATACAATCTCAATCAAAATCCCAGGATGTTTTTTGCAGAAATTGACAAATTGATTCTAAAATTCATATGGAAATACAAAGGACCTGGAATGACCAAAACAACTTTGGCAAAAAACAGAGTAGGAGGACTAACACCATATGACTTCAACACTTAGAAAAACTACAGTAATTAAGGCAGTGTGTTAATGGCATCAAGACAAATAGGTCAATGGAACAAAATAGAATCTAAAACTAGACCCACACATATATGGACAACTGATTTGTGATAATGGTGCAAAGGCAATTCAGTGGAGAAGGAATGATATTTTCAAAAAGTGGTGCTACAAGAGGTTACCCATTAAAAAAAGGAAGGGAGGGAGAGAGGAAGGAAGGAACTTAGATACATACCTCATACCCTATACAAAATTTAATTCAAAATAGATGATAGAGCTAAATGTAAAATCTAAAACTATAAGTCTTCTAGAAGGAAAAATAGGAATAAGTCTTTGTAAACCTGAGTAAGGCAAAGATTCTTAAATATGACACTAAAAGCACAATCCTTAAAAGAACAAACTGATAAATTGGACCTCATTGATATTAAAATCTTCTGCTCTTCAAAAGATACTCTCAAGAGAATATAAAGACAAACCTCAGGTTGGGAGAAAATATTTGGAAATCACATATATATATATATATATATAAAAGGGCTTGTATCCATAATACATAAAGACCTCTTAAAGATCAATAAAAAGAAAACCCAATAAAAACACAGGCAAAAGTTATGAACAGACACTTTACCAAAGGCGACATAACAGAAGGCAAGTGAGCACGTGAAAATACGTTCAATATCATTAGTCATTAGGGAAATGTAAATTAAAACCTCAGTGAGATAGCTTTACACACTTATTAGAATAGCTAAAATTTAAAAGACTGACAGTATCAATTGTAGGCAGAGATGTATTAAAAGTGGAACTCTCATACAATGCTGATGGGCATGTAAAATGGCACAACTTCTTTGTAGAACAGTTTTGAAGATTCTTAAAAAGTTAAATATATACCTACTTTATGATCTAGTTATTCCACTCCTAATATTTACCCAAGAGAAATAAAAGCATACATCCTTACAAAGACTTGGACACAAATGTTCATAGCAGCTTTATTTGTAACAGCCAAAAACCAGAAACAACCCAAATGGCCATCGAGAGGTGAATGGACAAATTGTGGTATATCCATAGTGGAATACTACTCAATAATAAAAAAGAATGAACCATTGATATAGGCAACATGGATGAATCTCAAAATAATTATGCTGAGTGAAAGACACCAGACCAAAAAGAAGAGTACATACAGTGTGATAACATTTATATAAAATCCTAGAAAAGGAAAACTAATCCAAAGTGACAGAAAATAGATCAGGGGTTGCCTGTGGAGAGCTAGGAGGGAGGGATTACCAAGGGGCATAAGCAAAGTTTTGGGGGTTATGGCCGTGTTTATTATCTTGGTTGTGGTGATTGTTTCAGTGGTGTATACATAAGTCAAAACTTACCAATGGCATTATAATAATAAATAACACTTTTGTTTATTACGCTCCAGTCACTGTTCTAAGCACGCTACATGTATGAATGTAGTTATGCCTCAACACAAACCTATGAGGTAGACGGTCATCCCTATTTTACAGATAAGGAACTTAGTACAGAATTTGTGCAACTTAACCAAGGTCACATACCTGCGTTCATACCAAAGTCTGCCAGGCTCTGTATTATTAACCACTACCCTCTGCTTCCTGTGGGCAAAGTCAAGCTGTCTGCAGAAGTTGATGCTAAAAAAGAACACATTTACATCTTCCTTCATTTTCACAGGTAACAGAAAATAATGGTAGCTCCTTCCATGATCATTAAAAAACTAGATGAAGTTACAAGGAAATGTTTCCTGCTATGAGGTCACTTGGAACAGCAATGAGATGGATACATTTAGGATAAATAGGGCCTTGCATCTGACTCAGAGGGTACATACACCCCAACTTTTGCAAAGGCACAGACTGTAACTGAGTGGTGAAGAGTAACTGCAGAGTAAGAAGTAGTGTAGGTGGGCACTGCACCCGAGGTAGGTCTCTGAAAGTTTGCACCCTATTAGGAATGTCTTCCAGGATGCAGCTGGCTCTACATGGACAAGATCCCTCTGTTTGAGTTTAGTAGACTTAAAATGTACAGATGGTAATAAGGTTACCACATATTTGTCTTTTCCTTTCCTGGTTTACCCCTTGTTTAGTGTTGCACATCTGAGAAAGAATACATGGGAGGTAAAGTTTTCATATCTAAAGGGTCTGAAATGCCTTTATTCTATACTCACACTTGAGGGTATAAAATTCTGGGTGGGAATCATTTTCCCTTTTCTATTCTGAACGCAAACGCCATCGTCATCTCACTTTCAAGGTTGCTGTTGACAAATCTGGTACCATTCTTATTCCTGATCTTTTGTTTTCTCTCTCTAGAAACTTTGTAGGATCTCCTCTTTAAACCTCATGTGTTGATCATGCACAGTGATGTTCTTTGATGTAGGTTTACCCCAGTCTATCTTGCTGGGCGCTCAGCATACCCTTTCGATCTGGAAACTTACATTTCCTTTTATGTTTGTAAGTTTGGGGGTTTGTTTCTTGTCTTTTCTGACTGTAAAGAGAATTTATATTGAAGAAACAAGGGCTCAGAGAATTTGAGGAAGGTTTCATGATGGAAGCTGCGAGTCTGAATTAAACATCTTACTGGGACATTCCAGTTATGCAGAGCTGTAGAAACAGAGGCACACGGTTAAGAATTAGCACAGTCCAGGAAGGACAGTGATGACACTCATAAAAAGCATGGAAATGGAGAGAAACAAGAAGAGGCACAGTGAGCCTAGCTGTGGATAATCCAGTACTACTCTTGGACAGGTGTCTTCTGCACATGTAGTTTCTGATGCAGAATGAATCTTCCACACCAGCTAAAGGTTTTCCCGCACACCTTACATTCGTAAGGTTTCTCGCCAGTGTGAACTCGCTCGTGCTGAACCAGGGTTATTTTCTGATTGAACGCCTTCCCACACTCCTTACATTCAAAAGGTTTCTCCCCGGTGTGAATTCGCTGATGCTGAGTCAAGGCTGTGTTGGAGCTTAATCGTTTCCCACATTCTTTACATTCATACGGTTTCTCCCCAGTGTGCATTCGCTGATGGACAATAAAACTTGAGCTACAACTGAAAGTTTTCCAACATTCATTACATTCATAGAGTTTCTCCCCAGTGTGGAACCTCTGGTGCTGGAGGAAGACAGAGCTACTACTGAAGGCCTTGCCACACTCCTTACATTCATAGGGCTTTTCTCCAGTGTGGATTCTCTGATGTTGAATCAAAGCTGTGTCTGAACTTAAACCTTTCCCACATTCTTTACATTTAAATGGTTTCTTTCCAGTGTGAATTATCTGATGTCGAATAAGTAATGAGTTATATCTGAAGTCTTTTCCACATTCTTTGCATTCATAAGACTTTTCACTGGTGTGACGTCTCTGATGTTGGTGGAAGTCTGCCATTCGACTGAAACATCTGTCACATTTTCTACATTCATAAGATATCTGACCACTAAGAATTCTCTGATTTGTAGTGAGTTGTGTGCTATTTTTTCCTAATTTCTCACACTTCTCCCCATTCTCGACAGCGGAGGCCTCATGATGCCTGGTTGACCCATCTGTGAACTCTCTCCTCTTTGAGTCTGTCTTCTTGACTATCCAGTTACCATGCTGCCACTCTGGGCTGCTCCCAAGGTTAAGGTGCTGGGGAACATTCCCTGGCAGCCCTCCTAATGTCAGTCTGTAGGACTCCATTTCTTTAGAAATGTGTTCCTTTTGAGTTGATTCTCCCTTCTCAGTTCTGATCTCAGCCCCTGATATCACAAAAAGAAAATACAAGTGTCAGCCCCTCACATCACAAAAAGAAAATACCTGTGCTGAAGGGGAAGTGGGATCAAGTGGTTCTAATCTGCCCTGAGTACGTGGCTATTTTTCCAATATGTCCACAAAATGGCTACCAAAGATCATCACACAACAGAGCCCCACAAGTGAAATGAAGGCTCTATGAGACAGAAGAGAGCAAGGCCAGGAGACACTCCCATAAAAAGGGTGAAGACTGGAAAACAGCAGACTGTTAACTAGGACAGAAAGACCAAGAGAAAAGTGAATGGGATGGATAAAAGGGTAGACATAGAGAAGTGATGAACAGAGACCCCCAGGTGAGAAGAAGACCACCAAGATTGGAAAAAGGGCAGGCCAAGCAGCTCAAGAACTACCAAGGGTCCCACAGGCAGAAATTTCTTAAGAGCTGCTTATTTTAAAACATCATCCCTGTCAAAATCTTTGAAAAGAGAACTGATCTCTGTCATCAAGGTGGCTCCAGCAAAGCAGCAGGCTCCTAGGGTGCAGCTGAGGGGCCCATGCAGCACACACACCACAGCAACCAGAAGAAAAGGGGAATATGTGGAGGCTTGCCTCTGAAATAAAAGGGTACTGGACATGTGAAGAACCCTTCCAAGAATGGACATAAGTCCCAGAGAGGACCAGGTAATGATTTCTGCCCTTTTCCTAAAACACCACAGAGGACATGTATATAGTTTAACATGACAGTTTGGAATATGAAATCCTAAATTAGCATACTAGAAAAGGAAAAGCCAAGGCTATTTTCCCTCTGCTACTGAGACCTTTTGCAGGCTGATATAATCTTCAGCACTGGGTTAGCGCAAAACCTCATGTGTTTACAAGAAAATTGCTTAGAAAATATTTTTTACCCAGAAAGACTGAAGTCCTGGGGTCATATCCAGAAAGGCACAATAACACAAAGCTGGGGGGTGTATCATTAAGGGGTATTCTCTGCAAAGAGGAAATTTTAACAGGCAGAGAAAGCGTGAAGCAGAATAAGAAAGGCAAAAAAATTCACTATGTTGTTATTTTTAATTCTCATATAAATACCTTTCAAAATGAGGAAGCCATTCACCTTTTATTTACAACAAGTTTTGCTTCAAAAGTTCATCTGTTGAAAAAAATTTTTAAGGGGCAAGCCCAGTGGCCTAGTGGTTAAGTTCGGCGCGCTCTGCTTCGGCGGCCCAGGTTCGGTTCCTGGGTGCGGACCTACACCATTCGTTGGCCGCCATGCTGTGGCAGCAACCCACATACAAAATAGAGGAAGACTGGCACAGATGTTAGCTCAGCCACAATGTTCCTCAAGCAAAAAGAGGAAAGATTGGCAACAGATGTTAGCTCAGGGCGAATCTTCCTCAGCAAAAAAAAAAAAAAAAATTTCAAATATCTGTAGGGGAAAGATGAAACAAGAACAGCCAAATATTGGTGACTGTTGAGGTGAGAGATACCTGGGGTGCTTTTGGCTGGTATCTGCATATGTTTGAAAATTTCCATTATAAAAATGAAATTGTTTTATTTGTTAAGTCAGAGTTTAGGAACTCATGATTCAGTTTTCCATAGAAATAATGTACTCTACAAATACGTGGCTGGCTGGACAGGCCCCCAGAAGCCTATTTTCCTCATAAGGTAGTTGATGTCCTAATTTTCACAAAAACAAACTGATGGAAAAATAAAATGTCTCCACATGACATGAATGAAAGAGCTAGTTTAAGAGCCGCTCAGTCACTCTCCCTTGGCAGGTGGTGAGGTGGAAAGGCAAAGACGCATGCAAAGAAATCTTGCAGCCACACCTTTCTTGGAAGAGACTGGCCCTTCCTCATTCGAGGGAGGCTACCACTGTGAACTCAGAGAATCACATGTAATGATTCCACCGGAACAATTCCAATCCATGTAATGATTCTAATTAAAACAGTCTCACAGGAGAAGACACACTTCTTACACATTGAAATGTGAAAACAAGAAAGCAGGCTAAGCAAAAAAGGCAGCTGGTAGTCCTTGTGCTCACCTAGACAGATACCTCTGAGGGCCTCCCTGCCCACAGGTTCCCAGGGATCGAGGCCCCATGGCAGTTCCCCTCGCTCCAGCTGGGACACCAGAACGGGTCTGGTGAATGGAAAAGCTGCCCAGGGAGAAAGAAACAAAAACAAAAAGGTCAAGGGAATCATGAAGCAGGGTCCCTTGCAGCTCTCTTTATCTTTCTCTGTTGAGCCAGGTGGAAAGAGATGAAGCGAAATCAGCCTGTGCCATCATAGACAACAGGAAATTCCCACAAAGTGGGGCAGAGTCCTGGACTAATCCCCCATTGACATGAGGGAGTCCCAAATCTTCTTCAGAGAATTTGGAAGACAGAGGCACAAAGGGTTCCACTGAGCTCCCAAAAGCTCTTCATTTCCCTCCATGCTTGGGGCAGAGTCCCTCCCAGGGTTAGAGGGACAGCTGATTTCAAAACCTGGGAACCCAGGGGTCTTCCCACCCAGTAGCCACTAGGGAGCTCAGCCTTCAGAGAGACTGCCCATGAGGGTTATTAGAGGCCCCCAAAGTCTAAGGAAGAAAGAAGCCAGGATGCTCAAAGGGCAGAGGCAGACAACAGCGAGGAGAAGAGATGTCTTACCTAGAGAAGCCACATTTGCATAATTCTCCAGCATCACCTCCCTGTACAGGGCCCTCTGTGCTGGGTCCAGGATGACCCATTCATTCTGAGTGAAGTACACAGCCACGTCCTCAAAGGTCACTGGCTCCTGAAATAATAGGTTTCTGCTCAAACCCTGTGTGAGGGCAGAGGAGCCTAAGTATCCAGGCAGAGACTGGGTCTGGTATTCCAAGGACAGCTATCCAGTGCCCCCTGCAGGGGCCAGCCCTCAGCCAGCATTATTGCTCTCAACAACAGGGGAGCCCAAGATTCACTGCACCCCTTTGTGGTCATTCCCAGCAAACAGCCCTTCCTTCACCTGCTGATCTCTGCATCAACTCCGCCATGCCCCGCTCTGTGGGACTGTTGGTCCCTCTGGCTCCCTCCCCTACCTGGGTTTTGTGTGCACGTGTACAGGGGACATCTGTACAAACACAGCGCACAGCAGTCTTGTACTGATTGCCACTCCCTTTCTGATCCCACTACAGTGACAGTAACACAATGGCCCAAGAGGAGAAGAATCAGAGTGGACTAGAGGTGTTAACAGAATTTTAGAATGCAGAAAAAAGGGTGAATGGTAAGTAAATTAGAAGAGCAGAGAAAGCTGAATCATAAGTGCTGGTGGAAGGGGAAGCAAACAAAAAGGAGGCCAGTTCACACCACAGAACCAAGGATGAGCTCTGGATTTTTAAGTGTGCACTGCTTTTTATAACTTGGTAAAACATTCTATCTGTTTAAAAGCACCAGGGAGGAGGGAGGACTGACAAAGTACTTAGGGCAATGAATGAAAAATACCCACACAAAGGCACGTCACCGAGAAGTCTCAGAAAAATGAGAACATAAAAAAGATCCTAAAGGCTTTCAGAGAAGGAAAAACAAGACACACATGAAGACTGGAGAGTCGAGACGGCAAGACTACATAGCAAAAGTAAAAGGGGAAATGTTTGTCAAAACTCTGAAGGAAATCTTCCACTTCTCATCTACATGGAGTCACAGGGATCAGATTTATCCTCCTGCCTGAACCAAAATAAGACACATTACATAAAACAGTGGTTTTCAAGATATTGGATATCAGGCAACGAAGGACAATAATCCTTTAGAGATGGGAAAAAAAGAGGTGAGCCCCCTGATTCCCAAAGCTTACTACCTTGAAAATTTCCAGGCTGTAATACAGGGAGGGGGAACTGAGGCAGAGCCCAGCAGATTCCCTGCTGGAGTCTGAGGCGACCAAGACAGCTACAGTTTATAGGACAGAATACCAGAAAGGAGAGAGCTGCACAGAGGAAAAATCCCCATCATCTGCAGAGGGTCCCCATAGAAAATTCAACAGAGTACTGATCAGGGCGTGGGTGTAAAGAAACTACCCAAAGCCAGAGAAAGGAAATACAGTGAAACAGTGAACGCTTTTGCCCTAAGATCAGGAAGAAGACAAGGATATCTGCTCTCACCACTCCTACTTGACATTGAAATGGTGTTCTAGCCAGTGCAATAAAGCAAGAAAAAGAAAGAAAAGGCATCCAAACTAGAAAGAAGTAAAACTGTCTTTGTTCATAGATAGCACATCTATATAGAAAATCCAACGGGATCTACAAAAAAATTACTAGAATTACTTTATCCAAGGAAAGACTTCTCCAATTTTGTGGATGGGATGAAAGGGGTCTTCAGTGTATGCAGTGATGCAGATTTCCACTTTTCAGCCCCAATTGCCAAATCTATCCCAATCCATTCCCCCACGCTTACTTGTTTTTTCGATCTTGATTATCTTAGTTTGGGCATTCTCATCCCTCCACCCCCGCCAATTCCTCCCCTTCCCAAAACACACCCAATAGTGACAGATACACAATGGAAGCCACAGGCCTGTACAACTCAGGATCTGGATGCAGAGCTGACACCTGCTCTCTCGACATCAAAAGGGTGGGAGGGTTGGGGAGGGGACAACAGAGGCTGAGAGGATGCTGGCTCACCTGGCGCCAAGTGGCCTGGAACATGGCTGGCGTCCCCGCTTCACACACTGCCCTCGGGGTCCTGAGAAATGAGACTGAAGAGAAAATAAAAAGGCACGGGTAAGACTGATGCTGCCTCGCACCCCACAAATGCCCTCCGTCCGCCCCGGGCCCTTCTCTGTCCAGCCACCCCCTCACCACAAAAACACAGGGGCTGAAGAACCCGATACTACGCTAGAGGGAAGCGAATCTATCACTCGGACCCGGGAACCCAGATCCCGGGCGACCGCTAACCCCGCAAGGCGCAGGCGCAGGGAAAGCGTGGGAACGCGGCCATCCGCCGGCTCCTAGGGAAGCTCTGGACCGACTCAGTCGGAAGTGCCTACGTCATTCCCCCTCTTCTCTAAGAACCTGGGAAGTTGCCCGTCTCTGTGGTTTCCTATCCCAGCTGCAACCGCCACTGTCCCTACTTTCGGAGACCCTACTGGCCAGAGTTGCCAGCCGCAGGTTCGGTTCCTGCAGCACCCCCTCCTGGTAGCCTCTCTGGAGGATGTCGGCCGGCCAGCTCAGGCCACACAATGATTACAATCCTGGGAATCACCCAGAGTTCCCTGGCGTTGGCCACTTCTGGTTGCCCTTCCAGGTAGTGAGGGGATGGGATCGTTGCTCCACATGTGCCAAAGCTGCCTGGGTTCTGGTTCTGCCGCGATGGGAGGATTGGAATGGGGAGAGTGGGGCCCATCACTTCAACGTCCAAATGTGTATCAGTGGAGAGCATCAACTACCTAGGTCCAGAAACCGGACTGTACCACTTAGCTGTGTGACCGGCAGCAAGTTTTTCGCCTGTTTCCTTGCCCGTTAAATGGGTACGATGGTGGTACCAACCTCAAAGGGCTGTTGAGGGTTAATAATTAAATGAGTTAATGGATTGGCAAAGTATTTACAGTAGTGCCTAGCACACAAGTGCTTGCGAGTTTGTTTTGTTTTCTAATTGTGTCATTTGGTGTGAAGATACAAGTGCTGCTGGGGCTCCAATATGTGGCACAATTTAGGGAAAGAGTAATTAACATTTAGCCTTAGAGCCCTTTCCCACCCTATACCTGGATGTGTATCCAGCCCAGCCTGGAGACAGATTTCAGTTAATGGCATAGCAGCCTGTCCTGTGAATACAGGTCGTTGATATTAAGTTAAATGTTTCATGCCTTAGGATAAGCATTCTCCAGGTTCCTCCTCTCCCAGTCTTCAGAACCACTCCATTCTCAAAGACTTGTCAGGGCACCCCACTACATAGCTAGACCTGCCAGTGGGATAGCCACCATGATTTGCCTTCATTACATATTTGCAATCTAAGCAAAGCAAATGTCTCCACTCTAGCCCAAGAATCTTTTCTTGGAGGTTGCCAATATGGGAAGACTTTGTTTTACCTTGAGGGCTCTAATACTCCCAAGAACAGCTTCAGAGACGTGGCTTCTACTTGCCAAGCACTGCTGTGCTGTGTAGAAGAACTGTCCTCCCTCTTCTCCAAGATTAGGAAGAGTGGTTTGAGCATTCTAGAAGCTTAGCAGGGAAAGGAGCCTAGGGATTCAGTATGCATCTTTGACAATCCCAGTTTTCAAGGACTGGGTGCCTCACTCCTGCCCTTCAGCTTTGCGTGGTGTCCCTAAGAGAAGAACATCTATTGTTCACCAGCTCGAGAAACTGCACTTCCAGACTTCTGCCTGGGTGGAGGGAGAGTCCCTTGGCTACATGGAATCAGGAAAAGGATTAAGGGATAAGGCTGCTCCTTTTAAGGGCTTTTAAACAATAGCATCTTCCTCATGTTATGAGGGAAGCATGTTTAAAAACAAAAAACCTTAAGGATAATTACTGTAACAAACTATTATACTAGTAATTTCCCTGGGAAAGAGTTTATGCATTTCCAAGCTCCAAAATTACAAATTATGCCAGAACACAAATTTCATTGATAAACACAATTGTTTCAACATTTGACAATAATTATAACACAACAAGGTCATTTCTTTCATTAATTACTCTACAATATGGCTGTGTAATCATCTTCATTCAGTGTTTTCTTAGGAAGGTGTTATACACAATACACTTAAGACCCTACAAAGCATACATATAATATTTAATGTCCATTTATCTGAACCTTTTGCAAAAAAAGAGTAAAGACAAAAGAAATATACAAACAATGCAAAATTGCCACTGCTATAAATGACAAAGAGCCAGAGAAAACTTAATGCAACACTTACATATGGTTAGGTAAGATTTAATTAGGGAAGTTTTACAAAATCTTATTGGAAATGAGGCAACCACAGAGAGCAGCAGCAGATGCAGTGTATCTCAGCAGAGCTTTACTCGGTGCCAGTACACCTGACAGCTGCTGCTCATGTTGCCCATACAGGATACTGGAGTGGATCCTTCTATCTTGGAGAAGCTCATCTTTTGTGAGCCAGTCTTTTATACTCAAGGTAAGCTAATCAGAAGAATTTACACATACACACAAATGTACGCACTTCTGTGTAAAGGAATGTTTATAAATTCTGGGCCCTTTTGGTCCCTGAAATAAACCAGAATCAGGTGGCAATAATGAGCGTGGTGGTGGGTGCCAGGGGAAGGAGAGTCCAGCACCCTTGGTCTCTCAACAATATCTCTACCTCCAGTTTTTCCAACAACCCAGAAAGACCTTTTCCCTATACCATGTGAACACTGCTCACTACAAAGCCAAATGGTATACTAAGATTACATTTCCTTTATTGTACAACATTTTAAAAAATTCCTTTGTTGCCTTTCTATTTTCCACTACTTAACTTCATGATATCCTAAAATTTTCACAAACTCTCCTTGGTATGAGGACACAAGATTCCCACCCTGCTGCACAACCGTCATCCTGAGTCTTCACTGTTTTCCCACAATGGACTCATGCTTTTCTGGACACGATGTCTTCCACATTCTTCCTTCCTTCGCTGGAGCACACCCTCAAATAATGATATTTAGTCATATCTTCAGGGCCAATTATATATAGGAGTATCCTACTCCATTTTATATCTTCCTGACCTGGCTTTTATGACTCAAGCTTTCTTCTACAGAAATTCCTTTCCTCCTGCTCAATTAGCCCATCTGCTTTCCATCTTACTACCATTTACCCAATGTTCCTGTTCTTACTATAAACCTAAAACCTATTTTTAAAACTAATTCCATTAGTCCTTGAGTGTCTGGGAAAACCTTATTCCTATTAAGTGTTGAAGAAGTAGTCTTTTACACTTTCTTTCTTGGCTGTATGGTTTGTAAGAGTTTTCTCTCATTCACTCAAAGATGTTATATTTCCTATATTGCATATAAGGCATTGTTCTACATGGGCTCTTATTCTCTTTTATTTTGTCATTGATAAAAAGCCACTAACGGGGGCCGGCCCTGTGGCTTAGTGGTTAAGTTCAGTGTGCTCTGCTTCGGCAGCCTGGGTTTGGTTCCCAGGTGTGGACCTATACCACTTGTCAGCAGCCATGCTGTGGCAGCAACCCACATACAAAATAGAGGAAGACTGGCATAGATGTTAGCTCAGGGTGAATCTTCCTCAAGCAAAAAAAATAGAGGAAGATTGGCAACAGATGTTAGCTCCGGGCTACTCTTCCTCAGCCAAAAAAAAAAGGTGGCACTAACTACAGTGGAATGGGCCTCCAAAATCTACCACTATGATCAAGGTCTTTCTAAATAAACTATCTACCTACCAAGAACTAGTACAAACAACTCAGGGCACAAAGGTCTCAGCCTTCCAAGTGTTCCTGTCCCCATATGATGGGCCATTAGTGGGACAAATTCCTGTCTATCAAATAGGACCACAGAGGTCCCAGGTCCTCCTCTCCTGCTCTAAGCTGCTACAATGTACAATGGTTTTTCAGGGGTTCCTCTCTCCTGTAGGCTAGCTGTGAAAAAAGCTGGTGTGTCTCCAGCTTGCCTGGACTCCTACTTGCTGCACAAAAGTTTTCTTCTTGATCACTATTGGAAAACACAGTTAATAAATATAATTTCCAGAAATCAAAAGAATTGTCTTTTTTCCTACAATTTAACTGTTCTTTTTAGAGATGATCTGGGAGTGACTCTGGGATAAATACCCTTTGTAGACTCTGATCCAGATGCTCAAACTGCATCTGGATGCACTAAGCTTGAATTTTGATTTTTCCCCTGAGCCTACCTCTTGCATACCAGTTATAAAAGAATAAATAGAAGGAAAAGCTACCTGAACTCCACAATCTAAACATTAAGCATTTCAATTTTGCTTATTCTGTTCCAACTCCTTCTCATGCAGACATAAGGAATTTTAAGGAATTGAGAGAATGTATGTGTCATTTTATAGTCTCTTTTCTTACTAATCAGAAAATACACATTTTTCTTGTTACACAGTCCTGAAATAGTGATTAACAGAATGTACTCAAAGGATAGGGTCTATAAATATTAAAAAGGGGGCAAAACATGTCTACGTTAGTGACAATCATGCAAAATTAGAGAGTAGCAGGCTTCTCGTTTTCATTACTATTAGAAAAGTGATCAATGTAGAATTACTTTTTTTTTTTTTTTTTGCTGAGGAAGATTCACCCTGAGCTAACATCTGCCACCATCCTTCTTCTTTTTGCTTGAGGAAGATTCATCCTGAGCTACATCTGTGCCAGTCTTCCTCTATTTTGTATGTGGGTCACCGCCACAGCATGGCTGACAAGTGGTGTAGGTCTGAACTCACGAACCCAGGCCGCCAGAGCGGAGTGCGCCGAACTTAACCACTAGGCCAGGGGGCTGGCCCCAATGTAGAATTACTTTTAATATATTTGTGGGAAATTCAGCGCTTCTACCCAGAAAGGTTTTAACTACAAAGGAATCTTCAGGTAGCGCAACTACATGACAGAGGGCCTGCATGGTAACTGAACCACAAACGGGTCTCTTCTGAGGTACAGGTGCCGCAGTAATCCAGGGACTTCTTCCTCTGCTGTCTCAAATGCCCAACAACAGGGGGCCTTTAACACAGTATAATCAGTCTCCTGCAGTCAGGAATCTGCTGCACATTGCTCCAGCCTGGCTCTCTTCTGTAACTACACATATAAATATATACTGAAACTAAACAGAAACATCTAGATAGCAACAGCAGTCCAAAATGAAATACTAATATGTTTAAAGTATATTACTTTGTTGCTATCAA